TGGCAGAGTAGTGGCAGTGTTAATTGTTGCGGCTTGCAGAAGGCATAAAAATTGCCATTTACTGGGTCAGAGCATCGGCCCATCTTGCCCAGTATCCTGTCACACAAGGGTCCCTCCTTGTTGCACTTGTTTTGAACCTTTGACCTTCACTCCTGTCTCTAATTTATTTTTTATTTGTCCCAAGCAACCAATGATAAATCCTTGGTGCCCCCCCCCCCCCCCCCCCCCCGGGGGGTGTATAGCTCTATTTGGTGGGCTTTGGCCTACATTCTGGAATGGCATATCAGAAGGTCTGTGTCACGGGGGCAGAGAGTGGATGATGAAAGGGAGAGTGAACAGGGTATGACCAGATTTTTTCCCCCACTGTTCCTCTCTCACACAGCCTCCAGCATTTAAGGTCAAAGAAGTTCTAATTCAGAGACTGTATCCACAGCTCCCCTGCTCGATAGCTACTGGCTTGAAGGGCTGCACTCTGAGCCTACACTGGATCTGGCACTCCTCTGGTTTTCAGGGCTGGAAGGGTGAGCACCCCTGGGATAGACAAATGTTTGGATAGTTTTGATCCTGCCTTGAGCATGGGGCTAAACTAGATGACTTCCTGAAGTCCCTTCCATTCCAGCGTTTCTCGGAGTCTGTGGTTCTGCATGCAACCTAAATCTGAAAAATGAACCTTTTTTCTGCCAGGTTACCAGTCTGACATATATCACAATAAGCTTTGTGGTAGGAATTGTTTTCCATAGTGTACTGTTCAGTCCAAGAGAACGCAGTGATAAAAAATTAAATATTAGTGACTGAATCTGAAGACCTTATTAGTCTATAAGTACATGAGGGATGTGCATCAGGATTTGGGGAAATGGCTGTTCACCAGAGCATCCCAAGAGATGACAAGGTCCAACAGTCACAAATTCCTGCAAGGCCCTTTTAGGCTGGACATAAGGAAAAACTTCTTTACTGTTTGAGCCCCTAGCACCTGGAACAGATTCCCCCCAGCAGTGGTGCAAGCACCTACTTTGGACACTTCTAAGAAACATTTGGATGCTTATCTTGCTGGGATTCTTTGACCCTAGCTGACTTCCTGTCCCTTGGGCAGGGGGCTGGGCCCAATGATCTTACAAGGTCCCTTCCAGGCCTAATGTCTATGAAATCTATGAGAACATTGCTTGGTGGAAACGAGTCTGTAGTGAAATGGTTCAGTGATTGCTATATCAGAGGGCATAGCAAAATCCTGAATTTTAAGGAAAATAAACTTTCTTGGTGCTCTTTAAACCAGGACGTAACTGATTAATGTAATTTATTCTAACAGACTCTGTTTAGCAGCAAGATCCAACTTTTTCTATTGCTAAAAAAAATAAGTAAAGAAGGTATCCTGAGTATAGAGAGCAAAGGTTATGTATGTTGAAAAATCCTGATAAAACAAACTGAGAAAAGGAAGACGAGCTTAGCAGATGAAAATCTACAGAGGAACAAATTTGTTTTTTTTTTATAAATAGTCTAAAGGGAAATAGTAAAGACTTACTGTAGGCCCCTGAGGCCCCTGGGAGACATTACATTTAAGACATGATTAACGTGTTAATCTCGCTATAAATGGTAACCCTACCACACATTCAAGGAATTAATAGCATAACAAAACAGGAAACTAGCCACAAAAATATTCCACAAAATGTATAATATTTTTGTGGCTGGTTTTCATTGCATCTTAAATTGAATCTGTGTCAGGTAGCCCTGCCATGCAGCTTAATGGTAGTTGCATGGCAGGGCGTGGTGGCAGCTGCTCCATGTTAGCAGGCATATCAGTTAGGCCAAGATGTTGGGTTGTGGAGAGCTGTGAGGCTACCTGTGACCTAGCATAGTGCTTGACTGACTTGGCAGATCCCACGGGAGCTAAAGAGCAAAGCAGTTGACATCCCAGCCACAGGGACCTTGGGATGGGGAACCTCCTCCTGATTCCAGGATCCTGGCACACTGGGACCTTAAAAAAAGCTGGGTTGATCACATGTTTTGCTAACATCCCAGGGCTTGAGGCTCTGTGTCCCACAGCTAGGGTGGACAATCAGCTGACCCAGCTTTCAACTTGCCAGTGCAGGAGAAGCCCAAGATCCTAATGGTGCAGTTGGCATCCAATCCCTGATCCCAGAATTGTGCATCCTGCTGTGCAAATGTGGCATGGAAGGAAATGCAGTTATTAGGACTGACTATCATAGGGGCAAGCAATTTATTTCAGGTGGAGGGCTGCTTACTGAGTTTTGGCAAGCTGCCAAGGGCTGCATGGGTAGCCCTGCCCCTTGACAGGTGCCTTGCCCCCTCGTTGCTATCTTGTGACTGGTAATCCCGCCCCCTAACCTCTGCCATGAGAAGTCCCTCCTCTTGCCCCTGGAAGTACACCTTTCAGCAAGGGGTTTTGCTATCTTGGAACCAGAAAATATCAAATTATATTCTAAAAATCGAACATCTACAACATTAATTAATTTGATTTCAAAAAAATATTTTTGTCCTGATTTACATATGTTTGTGTAGTGTACATAGAGGTGTTTATATATAATAGCTTAAAATGAAGTCTTATTCTTGTATGTTGTGGGGGGGGGTATAGGTTTGTGGGGGGCTGTGGGTTTGTGGGCATGTGGAGTGAGGGGGAGGGTGAACCCCACACACCCCACCATACATATGCACCCACACACCCCCGTACTGCCATACGCATAGACCCCTACACCCATGCTCCCTCACACACACCAGCCACCCTCCCCACCATACACAGCCTGCTACAAACCCCATACCCACCCACACCCCACGTATCCACACACGCACGCGCGCATGCTCCCTCACCCCACAACTGCACCCTCCACACCTATCCACCCCCTGCAGACACACCCACACCCTCCCTGTACATAACTGGCTCACACCCCAGAATAGTAAGGCAGTCCTCTGTAAGGAGCAAACTTGTTAAGCTTATACTAGATTAATGGCTTTCAAACTGGAGTATGCATATAGCTAGGATATGCGTCAATCTTTGTGGCTGCACAAGAGGAAGGACTAGAAAAGGGTGGGGGAAAAATATACGTTGAGGAAAGGGAAGAAAAAAGGAAAACACGAGCTCTTAGGTTGTTGCAGTGATTGCAGTTGAGTTATAGTGATATATTTACTGTCTGTAACATAATCATAGAGGTATACCACGGTATGACAAACTTAGGAAGGGTATATCCAAAATGCACCCAGAAATGTTGGAAAGCACTGTACTTGACTGATCTATAATAGAAGATTGGAGAGTGGCTTGTATCACCCATATATTATTTTCCTACTAATGGGAACAGTTACCTTATTGTAACCTATGACTAAAATTAACTGAACTAAAGTTATCTTGACTTAATAATAGCAAATCTAATTTGAAATGACATAAATTATAATTGATAACTTCCACATACTAATCTTGCTTGCAGAACAAGGACAGAGCTATGATGTGAGAAATCCTTAAATAGTTTATTCTTAGCCTGGTCACTCTTGTTCTAGGACCTATATATCTAAACTGAAATCAAACAGTTATTTGGAGATACAACAGGTCACAGTTATATCAGTGAGCTTTTTCTTCCACTGTTGCACTACAGTTGATGCAGTTTAACTACTAGTAGCAAAAAGATTGAAGTCCTAGAGCAGTGGTTTCCAACCTTTTTTTCATTTTGACAAACTAAGGGAACTAGTTAGTGAAGTCATCTGGAATGAGGAATTATGGGAAATGTAAGCAGAGAAGACCTAGGATTTCTTTAAAACTAGTGTTGGCAGGTCCTATGCCATACTCCTGCCAGCACAGTCAGTTTGCCACTACTTCTTTTGAGAGCTCATTCAGTTCCTGTGAGGGCTGGTGTACAGCACCATGGACAGATACAGATGCAGCCAAGGCTTTGGTCATATTATCTCCAGTTCACCAACGAGTCTGGTCTAGGCATGTCCACAGTGGGAGAGCCAGTTCAGGAGGTGTGCCTGACTATCCAGTTGTTGTTGGCATGATCATCCACCTGCCTCATCAACCTGCAAGAGGTCAGTGATAGGTGAAAGCTCTGACTTTGGCTTCACTTCAGGAGGGGCACCTACAAGGACTCCCTTCTCTTTTCTTGGGTGCATACCCCTTTTTAAGTTGTTATGTTACAGACAACTTACAGCAGCCACTCTCTGCACCATGCACACGTGGAACTCCTGGCCATGTTTCTACCCTGTAGGAGTCTGATGTTGCCTCCATTTCTGGAGAGGTGCTGAAGAGTCTCCCCTTTGCCACTTGTAAAACCCAGTACCCAACTTTTAAGGGATCCAGACACAACTTTAACTACACATAGGTTTCTGCTCAGTGCCCTTCCTCCAGCCTGGCTTGTAGATAACACCAGAGATGCTGACATGATGGGAATAGCTCTTTTTTGCATAGCAGGAGGGCCTAGGAGATGGAGTCCTGTGCTGTTCTTTCAGTCTATAACCAGTTCCAGCTCCCTGGGGCAGTAGAATTTGGGGTGCCAGACAAACTCCCTGCAGCCATGGAAAGAGGGGGGAGCAAGAAACGAAGCATCCTAAGATACTGAAGGACCAACGCATGGTGATCCATGTAAATATGGTGCTCTGTATAACTGGAAATGGGATCTGTACTTTTCAGTTTAATGTCCTACAGGAGCAACCTTGCTGTCTGCTCTGGAAGTTGAACCAAGAATTTTAAATAAACGTGTTTAAGTTTTTTTAATGACTGGTGGCTTTTAATAGGAATGATGTAAAATATATGTTTTGTACAGCTGCTTATCTTCATGCTTTTATTTCTTTTTTCCCCCCACCTTATTAGGTAGAAATTTGGACTATGACTATAGTCCAAATGTCATAATACATTCAGTTGCCAATCCTCCATGTGAAGTGCTTGGTTAAACAAATGATTGGTTTTGGTACTTATCAGGTGAACCAACTCTTCTAAATTTCCAGGTGTTCTGTTTTGTATCTTAATGTTCAAGTTTAATATATTTTCCTCTTTTCATGTCTAGGAAGGCAGTAGAAGAGCTTCTTAAAGAGGCAAAACGTGGGAGAACTAGAGCTGAAACAATGGGAGCTATGGGTTGGTAAGTTATGATGCAAATGAAATACAAAGCCTATTTTACCTTTTAAATACTGGTATTATTGGAAGGAAAAAATAGACACCAAACCCTGTGTAAACAAATTAAATGGTAAAAAATTATATATAAAGCAGGGTAACGTTTTCACTTCTAATGTTTGATTTAATAGCATCACATTAAAATATATTTTATTCATTAACTGGAGGTGCAAAATCTTTCTTTAATTTGTATCTTCATAACTGAAATTAAAGTTCTGACTGAAGATTGTTCTACCAAGCACTGAATTGATGATATTCCCAGCTGGAGAATTGGTGTTGTTTGTTTTACGCACAGGTTTTTGTCAAAACGGCCAATATATGAAATTTCAATCGAGAAACTTGGATATATATGATATGTATCCTTGTGTATAAGATAGCTTATTTGTGGATTTATAAAATATATTCATTTTTGACTCTGGGGAGCATGCATAATTATTTTTTAAAAACCTCTGAACCACATTGCCTGTATGGTGTAAACATGGAGGGATGTGCGTTTGTACTTGCCACATATCTTGCTAAAAGCTTTTAGTAGCATTCCTGGAACTATTTCTATATGTTTCTTCAGTCTATCAGACCATGTTGTTTAGTTGTGAGTAAATGTAAAGGTTTGCTATTTACAAGCCATTGAGGCCCATTGGTGGCAGGGCTCCTCTGCGTCTTTAACGTTGGCATGAGGAGGAGGTGGTGTATTCAACACACGCTCCAGCCACCCTTACCCACGCGGAGCTCCTGCTACTCATTGGATAGGAGGCTGGGTGGGCTTCAGGGGTCATGCTAAAAGTGGAAATGATGAGTAGAAGCCCACCACTCACCTGGGATCAAGCCCAGCTCCTTCCAGTCCATTGTCAGTTGCCCATTGCACTGACCTATGCAGATCCTCTAGTTATAAATACAGCTCTGTTATTCTGTTTTCCTCTGAAGCAAGGCAGGAAAAAAATTAACTAGTTCACTTAATGCCTCTTTACAACGAGCAAAAAGCTCTTTCTAAGCAAGAACGTCACGACTTTAAAAATCTGGTGTTTTGGAATTTTCTAGTACTAGAAGCCAGTTTCTGTGTAAAAATTATTTCTCCTGATGGTATAAAGCAGGGATGTCAAAAATATGAACTATGGGTTGGATCTGCCTTGAGGAGCCATTTTACCCAGCCCACGGGGCTCCTGGAGGGACTGGAAATTCAAGGGCAGGGTGAGTGGGGATGGTACCTGCCACTGAATTTCCAGGTGCAGAGCCCCATTGGGAATGTGTTGTCAGTGGAAGGGTGAGCAACAACTGTGTTAACCCCTGTGCTGCCACTGTTTGCCCTATCACTCGGTCTGGATCTGGCCTATGAAGAGACCCATAATCTGAGTCCAGGCTGCAAAGAACACAGGATGTTGGTCGAGTTTGTTGCCCCTCGTATAAATCTTCCAACCTTCATTTTTTAAGTTTGAGGTTATAGGACACTATTTAACAGTCACTGTTCAAGACTGAAGATTGACTTTAAACTCCCAGTGCTGTTTTGGTGGGTGTGAGAAGTTCTTGTTTTGAGGGAGATGATAAAACTATTTGAAGCAGGAGTTTGGAGTGTTGAAAAGGATTTTGCACTTGTCCATCTCACCAGCAGTCAGCAGTGTAATAAAGCTGGGCTTGGGCTCTGTAAACCAGTGATTCTCAACCTTTTTTGTACCAGGACCCATTTGTAAACATCAGTGGCTAGTCCTGACCCTGTACCCTTCACTTCCAACCTACTGCCCCCGTCCCTGAGGCCCCAGCCTCCCAGTGTGTGGGGCAGGAGGGATGTGTGTGGCACGTGTGAGGTATGGGTGGCCCCAAGCAGCCCGTTGCAAGCTGGAACTCTGACAGCCTGCAGAGGAAAAACCATGGCTTCCCACATTTTTTTTCCTTTAAAGGAGAATCCATTTTTAAAGTTTGTTGATACATTTTTGAAGTTTGTTCGTGGCCCTTTCATATATTCTTGTGACCCATGGGTTGAGAAACTGCCATAGACCAAAAAGCCACGTTGAAGCACATGAGCTATATAGAAGCTGCGTGAACCGGGTCAAACTGATGCGATTCCTCTTCTGGACATGCACTGTGCTCAGCATGGGTGTGCACCAAGCTGAAAGTAAAGCACTGTTTTTTGTTTTGTTTTTCCCTGTCTGTAAGCACCCAAGAAGGCTGGTTAAACTTATCCAACTCTCTCAACTGTTGGGTCAGGACAGAAGCATGGATTACTGAGAGCAAATGAGTACAGTGCTGTATTATGTGTTTGAACATATTTTATGTCCCCAACATATTTGTCAACATGTTCCCTAACTGAGGGCTCTTGAAATGAAAGCACTATCTCATTGGAAAACAGATAATCCCATCTTTTCAGTCACTTAGCATTAAATGTGTAAATCTTATGGTCTTCATTTATGGAACCACTGTTTAGGGGTTTTATACTCTTTTCTATTTCATCTGAATGCAGCCCACTTAAACGATTGGTATTGACCTGCAGAGGGATGCAAAAATAATTATTTTTCTAAGAGTAGGGTAACAGTGATCTTGTAGCCATGGTGATCCAGAAATTATGCAAGAGGCAAGGATTTCTTAGGGTGAGAACCTTACTGGACCAACTGTGGTCGCAGTCAGTCTAATAAGATCTCACCCTAAAGAAATTATCCCCCTTGTATTATTCCTGGACCATCACAGCTACAACATCACTCTTATACTACTATACCATAACATGAAAGATACTAGAATCCATTGCTTACAGTGGAAAATTCACAACCTAAAAAGAGACAGTTGATCCTGTAAAAGATATCGCCCTAAGAGATTCTTGCCCCTCATAATTTTCTAAGAAAATTTTAAAATTCTAAAGTTTGCTATTCTGAGAACCCACATTAAGATAAACATGATGGTCTGACTGCCTTATTGGCAGGATAGAGATGCACCCTTCTACAGTAACAAAATTCCTCTGAGGCTCAATACATGAGTAACTGTCCGTAGCTCTTGCAAATCCAATCAGTATGCCACCACATTCTATCATCTGCTCTAGATCTTTGGCAGTTATTTTTTCAGCTGAAAGTTTGGATTGTCCTCCCAAGCAAATTGGTAGAGCAAGGAACCCAAATTATTTTAAGACAGAACTAACTAAGTTTTTGGAAGGGATGTTTTACTAGGACAGGTAGTTTTAGCTTAAGAGTCATGTGTTCCAGTGCTCAGGTTGGGGTATAAAGACAGCTCTTTCTGTATGGAAGGTGTCTGGTAGTCCTGTGACTTACAGGCTATGGTTACAGTTGGAACCAGGAAGGATTTTTTTCCCCCTTGTGAGTGCTGTTAGCTGCTGGTTTTTATTTCCTGTTTCTTTGAGATATTGGGACATAGAGACACAAGGTTGGGTGGTTTTCAATGGGTACAGTTATGTTCTTGCTAGTTAGAAAACACGGAGGTTCCTAGCTAGAAGATCTTGCTCATTTGGTCAGGGTTACACTGATCACCAAATTTAGGGTTAGAAATACATTTTTCTCTAGGTCAAGCTGGCACAGACTGCAGGGGTTTTTACCTTTTGACAGCATGAAGTATGGACCTTTTCCTAGGATCCCCTGAACATATATTAATCTGCATAAGAGCAGGGGTGCTGGATCTAATGCTCTTCTGAGGTCCCTTCCAGTCCCTAACTTCTATGGATTTATGAACCCCTTCCCTGTTTTTGCACTGGCAGGACATTGGTAGTGCTCTTTTCTTCCTTGCTTTTACGTATGGCATGTTAGGGTATTCTTGATATGTCACAGACTGTGGCTTGTCATTGTAAAAAGTAGTTAACCATGTTAGTCTGAAATCAGGTGGAAGGCAGGATAGAGATGCATCTTATAGACATACTGAATCAGAGGTGCACAAGCTTTCATGAATAAGTGCTCATTGTCATTGTGAGTGAGAGTTTGAAATGGTGATTTGAGAGATTCCTAGAATTAATGATTGACTGCAAACACAGGGAACTGGACTCTGTAGTCCAGGAGGACGCTTCCTGCTCCATGTTTCTTTTATGCTCTAAAGCTATAAAATAATTTGAATAGCAGCCATGATAGTCCAGGGAATATGCAAGAAGCAAGTTTTGTTTGGGCCAGTAAAAGATATTGCTAAAAGAACTGTGCTGCTTAAATTATTTTGGCAGCTTCTATTGGGCTGCAGCTTGATACCTGTTTAGCAATAACTGTGCAAATTCCTTTAGGATAAATGAATAATGAACCAAAACTAATGGAGAATGCCAAACGAGCAGTGTAATTATATGGTTAAAATTCACCTACTAAGCTGGGGTTTAATGGTCAGAATTTTGCAGAAGTAGCTGATGTAGCTTTTACATTTGTGCAAAAGACACTGCCTCCAGCACCATTTGGTCCCTGGCATGTCATTCATTGACTCAGTACTTGGAGGGTAGAGTTCCACCTACTGAATCAGCACTTCTGCCTTTTAGAGAAATTCCTTGAAAGTTGACCACCTGCACATAAACCCAATGCAAACAAATAAAAATGTCAGTGCACTCACTAGAGTAAACAATCTCCAGAAGTTATTTCCTCTCTAAACAGAGGAAAAAGGACTAAATCAGATTCTAAACAAGTCTTGGATTTATTTTGTTAATAGATAACACAGGTAGGGAATAAAGATTTATTGAGATTTTATTTCTAGTGGGAAAAATTAAATGAGTATAAAATATTTGGTTACCAGAAAGAACTGATTGTGCTAGAGTATGATATAGATTGCTGCATAAAAAGCAAGAGGGGGAAAAACCCAGGAAAAGACTAATGAGGGAAGTGAAAAAACGGGATGAGTCTCTTCTCAATTTAAATAAAATCTTGTAGGCTGGGAATAAAAAATGTAAATGCGAGTTGGAAAATGCCTTTGTGTGTTATTACTATAAGTACTTGGTGTTCCTGAGGCAAAATGTTTATTTAATGAGCTGAACATTTTAAAAAATAAAGGACAACACCAACTACAATAAGACAAGATCATGCAGCCTTTTATCAACAGAAGTGGAATATTTATAACTATTCAAGAATCAGCTATTTAGAAATTTGTCAGTGTGTAAATTATTAAAATGATCTATGCAGTTATAGAGGACTCCAACATGGGCCACTCCAAATCTGCTTTTTTCCCCCCTACTAAAATAACACAGCTGTTTTGTTTCTAATCTTAAGGCTAAGACAAAAGGGAATGGGAACATCTGAATGTCTTTTTCTGTACTCAGAGTTTACACTAGGTGGCATGCAAGGAAAGCCAAAATCATAAACTTGCATCCCTCTTAAAATAGTTTGGGTTTTCCTTTTACACTGTTATGTAAGTACCAGGGTATTTCATCTGGTCTTACACTTACTTTTCAATTTTTTTTCTCAGGTTGAAATGCCCTCTTGCTGCTACAAACAAAAGATTTCTCATTAATACTATTAAGAACACATTACCCACCCAAAAAGAACCAGACCAAGAATGTGAGCATAAGGAAGCTGATAAAGAACCCGAGCCAAGCAAAAGCAGGAAGGAAGAAAAACCAAAGAAACACATAATTCATCCCTACAAACCCAGCTTTCAGGCTAGAAGAAGAGGCAGCTATTCTCCTTCCAGCCATCGACACACGCACCGGCACACAAAGGAGAAGTACGAAAAGCGATCGAGCAAACGATAAGAAAGGTGAATACATTCTGTTACAAGCTAAAAATATCATTAATCTTTGGGCTGTGAAGATGCGTCAGTCCTCAAAAAGAAGACATTGTTCAACATAGATTTCCTAACTGGCAGTTGCTTTTGTGAGATATAACCTGAGAGTAGTTTTATAAGACTCTCTTTGGGAACGTTAAGAGAAAGTAAAGAACAACATTTGACTAGTGTAAAACTACTTCCCTCCCCCCCCGCTTTTTTTTTTTCTCGAACTGTTCTGAATGGATTGCACAAGTGGATATGATTCACTGCTTTGTATGATTCTTTTAGACAGCTTACCATTTTGGAGATTAATTTAAGCAAATACCTATGTACATGTAAATTTGACAAAATTACTTTGTTGCTAAACTCAATAAAGAAACATGGTTTATTTATGTTCATTTTGTAGGATAGAGCAGATCTAAAGAAGGAAAAGCTGGAACACTCAGTCACCCCCAAATGCAGTTTCTGTAGTTTGAGAGATCTTGGTATCCCTACAGTGAGAGAACTTATGCCTTCTTTTGACACTTTATTAAGAAAAAGCTTAAAATAGGCAGCAGTGACTTTACAATCCACAAGAAAATGACCTGGAATATAGAATTTATTCCTGTGTTCCTGTTCATTCCATAGATTGATCAGAGATAACAACAAACATTAGTACTAATAAGCCATAAATGCAATAATTGTTTCTATCTATGCTTCCCCTGTCAGAGGAAGTAGTTCGCATAAAATAATATCACGGTGCTTTGAAAACAAACCTCAGCAGTTAAAATTACCGTGCATCTATCCAGTGGTATGACTTTTACAAGTAGACAAATAATACAGGAAATGCAGAAGAAATATTCAAAAAACGTTGTTTTTCATCCACTTTCAAAGCCTGTGTGACAGTTTTGTAGTGGTACAATTTCTAACACTTGTGATGTTGAGTATCAATAAATAGTTACACCAGCCTACTGTATGTTCAGACAGTGTTATGATGACCTATTTTGTGAAAAGCATTGGGGATTTTAATAGTCTCAGACATAAATATTTGAACATATGGTTTAGCTTTTTAAGTTTTCAAGTGTGTTGCAAATAAATCTGAAATGTCTTAAATGAAAATGTTTCATGGACTTTCTTGAAGCTTCATGAGAATTAGCATTTTCGTTTGGGGCAGAGAATTCATAGTATCCTGCACCATTGAAAGAGAAGTGGTTCTGAGATATGTTCAGAGGTGTTTCAAGAAGAAAAAAAAGTTAAGAAAAAAATAAATACTATCCTGTCTCTTCCTTAAGTGAAGCTTGGGATGAGGGGGATGAGAAGAGAGACTGTGGTGAGCAATGGCAGAAAAGGATGTTAGCTTTAGTAGCTGAACTCATGGAAAAGGGGGACCATATATTATGATGGGAAAATTAGATGAAACTGTGGTTCTGCACTTCAGACAGTCACTTCTGTCTGTCTTCTTTTTTTAGCTTGTAAGATCTTAAAGAAACTCTCTCATTCTATGTTTGTAGGATGCCTAGAAGAATGAGGCCCAACTCTGGTTAGGTCTCCTAAATGCTACAGATATACAAACAATAAAATGTCCCCTTGCCCTAGGAGGCAGCGCAGCTCACCTCATGGAATATTGTTTCAGGCATCAGTTCCTTTGTGCATATTTGCTTTATCTGTTTGCTGTGGATTTTAGTAACACTACAGCTAGTGGTCTCCAAGGATAACGGAGACCTGGTGGGACTCCACCCATGACTGGACCACGGGGATAGATGGCTATACCCTATACAGGAGGGATCGTGTAGAGAAAAGGGGCAGGGGGGTAGCTCTCTATGTTAAGGAAAGCTACACGTCCCTGCAAGCCGATATTGGCAACCAGGGTGGACGGCTGGAGACCCTCTGGGTTAAAATCC